TCACGGTCTCTCCTGCCCGGTCTGGCTTTGAACTGTGATCCTCAGATCTCAGCCTCCTGAGTAGCTAGGATTACAGGCGTGAGCCACCAGCGCCCAGCTTGAATGCTGATCCTTACATCTCAGCCTCCTGAGTAGCTGGAATGACAGGTATGAGCCATGGGCGGCCGCCCCCCTCCTCTCCCAGCGTGGGGCTGAAAAGCCCAGGACTCCCATGTCACCACAGAGTCCCAGACCCGGGCCTCGGCGGTGGCGGTGGCACTGGGACTACTGCCTGAGTCCCCGAATCTCCACCAACACAACTTCCGCAGCTTCTGCGCTGTGGACCTCAGGCAGCCAGGCTGACCTGTCCACGCACCACCCCCCAGGCAGGCGAGGCGTCCGCCGGGTACCTTGCACTTGAATGGCTTCACAGGCGAGTGTACAATCATGTGTGTCTTGAGGGTCTGCTTCTGCACGAAGGTCTTGAAGCAGATGTGGCACTGGTAGGGCCGGACGCTGGTGTGAATCAGCATGTGACGCTTCATGTTGGCCTGCAGCGTGAACTCGCGGCCGCACACCTCACACTTGAACTCCTTCACACCCTGGGGGGGGGGGGGATGACACACACGCCATCATGGTCAGGGCTAGGATGTGTCTCTTTCTCGGGTGCTGCTGAGCGCCGCCGGGAGAAGGCAGGCCACAAGTGGCCTTACCAACCTGCCACCAGCACATGTACACACTTAGGACTGTGCCCACGCCCAGAGACACACGCGTGTTCATTCAGTCATGCACGCGTGGTTTTCCCCAGTGTTTCCTACACCTCTCAGTCCTTGGGCATCAGATCTATCTGACCCGTTCTGAAAGGAGAGATTCACACAGAGTGTCCTCCCCACGTCTGCCCGGCCTCCCAGCTAGAAAAGAGAGAAGGCTTGGCGCTGGTGGCTCACGCCTGTCATCCTAGCTACTCAGGAGGCTGAGATCTGAGGATCGCGGTTCAAAGCCAGCCCGGGCAGGAGAGACCGTGAGACTCCTATCTCCAATAAACCACCAGAAAACCGGAAGTGGCGCTGTAGCTCAAGTGGTAGAGCACTCGCCTTGAGCTGAAGAGCTGAGGGACAGCGCCCAGGCCCAGAGTTCAAGCCCCATGACTGACAAAAAAAATAAAATAAAATAAAATTTAAAAAAAAATAGAAAAGAGAGAAGATAGTCAGTGATTCTCAAATGGCGCTCTGTGGGTCCTGCAGGGGTCCTATAAACATTTTATTCAAAAAAAAAATTCTTGGTTGGGAATGTGGCTTAGCAGTAGAGTGTTTGCCTTGCATGCATAAAGCTTGGGTTCGATTCCTCAGTACCACATACACAAAAAAAGCCAGAAGTGACATTGTGGCTCAAGGGGTGGAGTACCAGCCTTGAACAAAAGAAGCTCAGGGACAGTGCAGTGCCCAGGCCCTGGTTCAAGCCCCAGGACTGGGGGGGGGGGGGGGGGGGGGGGGGGGAACTTAGTAAGTTTTAAAAAATCAATTTACAAAAAAAAAAAAATCAATTTAGAGCTGGGTGCTGATGGCTCACATCCATAACCCTAGTTAACTCAGGAGGTTGAGATCTGAAGACTGGGGTTCAAAGTCAGCCTGGACAGGAAAGACCATGAGACTCTTTATCATCAGTCATTCAAAAAAGCCTGAAGTGGAGCTGTGGCTCAAGTAGAGCGTTAGCTAACCGTGAGCAAAGAGCTCAGGAACAGCACCCAGGCCCTGAGTTTAAAGATGTGGTACACACACAATGCACGCACACACGCACACAGGAGACTAGAGGCGTGGTTCAGCCAAAGAGCACCTGCCTAGCAAGCACAAATTTAAACCCCATTACTAGCAACAAAACAACTAACCTGGTTCTAGAACTCAGGGCCTTTTTTTGCCTTTTTTGCCTATCAGTGGGGCTTGAACTCAGGGCCAGGACGCTGTCCCTGAGCACTTGTGCTCAAGGCTAGCACTCTATCACTCTGAGCCCCAACGTTACTACTAGTTTTCTGGTGGTTCACTGGAGGTAAAAGTCTCTCAGACTTCCCTGCCCAGGATAGCTTTGAACCCCAATCTTCAGATCTCAGCCACCCGAGTAGCTAGGATGACAGGTGGAGGCCCTGGGTGCCAGCTGAAGAAAGCAGACACTCCCTTCTATTTCCTGCTAGCGTGGTCCTGCAGCTAACCCCCGGGGGGATGATGCTGGGCGTGCGTTGTCACGGAGCGCCGGGCTTACCTTGTGGGTGAGGGAGTGCTGCTTGAGATGGTGCACCTGGCTGAACTCCATGCCGCACTCGGTGCACACGAAGGGCCGCACGTTCTGGTGCTTGAGCACGTGGTTTTGCAGCTGGCTGCGGTAGTGGAAGGACTTGTCACACTCGAGGCACTGGTACAGCGTGGGGCCCTGGTGTGAGCCCAGGTGGCGCTTAAGCTGGGTGAGGGTGGAGAAGTCCAAGCCGCACTCCACGCACACGTGGCAGCGGCCGCTCTCGTGCTTCACCTCGTGGGCCTTGAGCTCGCTGGGGTAGGCGAAGCCGCGGCCGCAGAAGTGGCAGCTGTAGGGCTTCACCTCCGAGTGCAGCAGCATGTGGCGCTTGAGGTGGCTGGTCTGCGTGAAGGCCTTGTGGCACACCTGGCACTTGTGCGGCCGCGTGCCCTGGTGCGTGAGCAGGTGCGTCTGCAGGTGGCTGGGCTGCTTGAAGAGCTTGCTGCAGTGCGGGCAGGAGTGCGGCTTGATGCCGTTGTGGCCCAGGATGTGCGTGACCAGGTTGTACTTGGACGTGTACGACTTCTCGCACATGCGGCACTGCCAGCGCTTCTGCCGGTCGCCCGCCTCCACCAGGTAGCTGTCGTCGATCTGCACGTTGATGTCCAGCCGGTCCAGCTGCGCCTTCTTGTGCCGCTCGGCCGTCGAGCCAGCCGCATCCGCCTCGAACTCCCCGGCCTCCTGCCACACGAAGCCGGACTCTGGCTTCCCGGGCTCGGGGGACGCCAGGGCGGGGACCTCGGGGTCGCCCAGCGGGGCCAGATGGGCCGGTGGGAACCCGCACTCGGCCGGCAAGGCCTCGG